GTTGCAATGCATTAAAATAAAAAGTATTAAGGGGAGCTGATCTGCCGCAAGGGGAGCGAGGGGTTGAGACAGGGAACTGGAGAGCAGCCAGCAGCTAATAGCAGCATAAAAGCAATTTGATGAAGGGGAAAAAAAAAAAAAAAAAAGAAAAAAAAATAAATTAACATGCTAATTGTCAGGCTGGAGAGGGTGCTGGGGACCATACAGAAGGAGAAAAAAAAAAAAAAAAAAAAGACGTCTTCTGATTACTCTACATTTTAACAATAGAGATCTGAGGAAGAAAGAAAGGTTTTGAGGCAATTTTCTTCTTTTTGTCCCATTCTCTGCTACCCTCCCCCAGCTCAGAACCTCTCGCAGGAGCCTCAGGCACTCACGGGGGGGTTTATCAGAAGATCTCTTCCTTTTTAGCATCGTGTCACTGCCAGATGCACCACGGAGCTGGTCGGCACCACCACGCGCTTCTCCCACGGTGGCAAGTGACGCTGCGCTGGAGCTTCTGTCGGGGGGGAAAAAAAGTCATATTTGAGAGAACCCTGCACAGTCCCACCCCACAGCTGGGCTGATTGAGGGCAGGGAGGAGGCTTCCGAAGAACTGACCCCCCCCCTCCCATTCAGAGGGAGGCTTTTTGGTGTTTCTTCTTTGAACAAAGGGATATCGGTCAATTTATTTTTAATTTTTTTTTTAAATTTATTTACTTTTCTCAAAGCTATTGAAAGGGTTGCCTGGAAAGCTCCAGCAGAAAGCTCAGCCCTCTGAGCTCCACAACGTGCCGTTCACTGGGATTAAAAGTCAACTAATGCTTCAGAGCACCAGGATTTCAACAGCACGGAGCCTCCCGACGGCAAATTCAGCAGGATCTCAAAGGAGCAGCAGCAGCAGCAGCTGCCTCTCCCCGCAGATGCCGTTTCACCCCGGATTTGTGTGCATCCCACTCCCGAAAAGCAGCTGGAAACCCACGGTGCCTTCCCTGCACGGAGAGTGAGCCCCCTCTGCCCTCTCCCCAGGCAGGTGGAACGGGGCTCCCAGCAGATTCCCCGCAGCTCCCAGTCCATCCCAGCTGACCAGCAGATGATCCAGCGCGTTTCCCCACAAGACTTGTGCTGGGGGAAACCAGGGCCAGGACACGAGGTACCTCTAATCATTTTTTTGATTAATATTTGCGGGTGAATGCTGTAAATACGAGCCGAGAAGATTTCAAAGAAAGTCACCGAGCCGCGTTAAGTGAATTAATTTGCTTTTAGACAAGATGCGGCTGGTTTTCAGCCTTTTACCAGCAGGAACATTGTTCCTTTCCTATGCCAAAGACTGACTGCACTTGCTCGCCTGCTTCGCTTCAAGGGTGGAGGAAATTTAAGCAAGAACATGTATAGTGAATTGCTAAATTCAACCAGTGCCACCGAAGCCCACCTCATCATTCAGACCAACACGCCCTACCTGAGCGGCACCCCGCGACCCGTCAGCTCCTCTGCTTTTTACGTGTCCACAGCCAGGGTGTTAAAAGAAGGGGAAATAAACAAGCCAGACCTGGTGACTTACATCATTCTGTTTTTCTTTCTGCTCTTGACTGTGACACTCATCGTGCTCTTCATAAACTGCCAGCTGAAAAATTCTTTTTTTGCTACTCTTCCTTACGACAGATCGCTCCGAGAGGCGAGGAGCCCGTGGAGGACACAAGCTGTCTGACACCAGAGAGAAACTATGTCTTGCAGCAGGAGCAGGCACCAGAAGCCCTGGGCAATAAGGCGTTATTGCCATGTGGCAGTGAATGGATGGGACCCTCTTTAAACAGGCTGCATCGCAGGAAAAGGTTGCTGAAAAAAACATGCTGTATGCAAATCGGCGTCGCTGTAAATAAAAAGCTCTGTGATGAACTAAAGAGAGAATGCTTTAGCAAATTGATAGGGTTTTGTGCAAAAAAATTGCCCCCCTGATTCCAGATTAAGCTCTATATATATGCAAATGTCATCATCCACCCATTCAGTGTCCATACAAGGATATTTGTGTTACCAACAATCTCTGGTTTGGGCATGTGGTGGAGCTTGTTACCCGTGTTTATGAAACCATAGCATCAAATGTAAAAAAAAACCCACAGTATATTTACCTAAGGGCTCCGAGCTGCGGGTACGAGTTTACTTTCCAGACCCATTTCTCTCAAGGGCTGCCGAAGCTGCGGGGTAATGCAGCCGGAGTCCTGCCAGGCAGGAGGAGAAAACAAAAAAAGGTTTATTTAGACTTTGGATTGTGATTCTGTTAAGGGTGGGCGTGAGGTTTTACTGCATCATCGAACAGGTTCTGAGTTACCATTTCTGTGAAACACTAAATACCTAAGGAATTTGTTTTCAACTTTCTTAAGCTACAACGGACATTTTTCGCCACGGCACGAAACTAAAATAATCAAGAAGGGGAGAAGGAAGGAGAGAAAATAAACATCATTAATATGTATGTAAACTAATGAAAGGGGAGAGCAGAGTGCTCTGAGTTCAGTACACAAAGTAGACAACTTTTGAAAGCCATAAAACAGTTTTATAGGAGCAGTTGCTTTAATGCACAATATCCCCACTCCGTGCTCTTTATATAAAATCTGGAACAGTTAGGAGCCTGCTTTATCAATATGGCAACACTTTGATTCAACATTGATCCCCGGCAATAAACACTGGTTCAAATTATTGGCTAGCTGATTTTGTTCTAAAAGCTCCTGCTTAACTTTGTTAGCTGACATGCTATTTTATAGATGGTTATTTTTAATAAAGTGGCGGTTACAGCACAATTCCAAATCAAACTGCACAAACCCCAGACCCGTATTTCTGTATCCCACAAACAGTGGGTTTTTGTTTGTTTGTTTGTTGGGGTTTTTTAGCCCCAGTAACTCAACATAGAACCGAATTGCAGCTATCCAGGAGGACAGACTCCTAAATCCTATTTTTGCTCCGTTTTTTGCCAATTGGATCATTTATCAGAAGAACAGCGTCCAAGTGGTGTCAGATGCTGCACCCCTAAATCCCTTCTTAACATGCAGACCACAGCAGCAGTGCTGTGCATGTATATGTGTATATAACTTATTTAATCCAAATGAAAAGATTTTACAATGCAATTACAGATGTACAGGCTCGCACTCAAACACCCAGACAGAACGTGCACACACGGGAGCCTGTTTGCAAGCTTCTTCTTTTTCTTTTTTACACAGAAATTGCACAGTCAATAACACTTCCATGTCATTGTCTTGGTTACCATGTTTTATTACACTCAAGTAAGTTAAACTACTATATAAGAGGCTTAAATATTTTATTCCTCAATAGGTGGCCAATTTTTATCTCCTCTGAACCAAATTTAACTGGTGTAATTCCAAGTAATTACTCTAATGTAGAAAGCGAGAATAAATTCAAGTGTGTTTATCAGCCCTTTTCGAATAAATCGAGTTTTATCAAATCAGACATTTCTTATTTATTTTTAAGTGATGACAGCTTGTTTTCAGCTATCAGCCACAATGAATTTGGTCTAAGAACTTCTGTTGGCAAAGGCCTCAGAACCTGTTAAGCGTATGTTGCTTTGTACCCTCCTGTACTTTATTTAAATGTTTGAGAATAATCCTGGAATAATCCTATTTTTCTCCGCAGCCTGATAGTTGTAATAATACACCAAAAGAACCTGTCATTCTTAAAGTGCTAACTGTTTTACTGGGAAAGCTTTTATGCATGCCCTGTGTTGCTCTCATCAATACCCAGAAACAATTCCACTACAGAAAAAAAAATTCTGTTCATGCCATTTTAACCAATGTATGAAACGTATGCATAGAAAACGTCTGATATATTCATCTTGATGAGGCTCAAAATTCAAGCTGACCATAAAATCTACTTCCCGACCACAGAGAGAGGGAACCATGAGCATTAATTCACTTGTAACTGGATTATTAGGTGCACGACACACGCGGGGTCCCAAGTGTATTCTCCATCCCTTCCCCTCACCTTCTTTCTGCCAGTCGTGGTCCTGCCCTGACACAAATAACACCATTCACTGCATCTTTAAAGCAAACCCCACTTTCTCAATGTGCCTTTCAAAAAAGCCCCTCGGCACCTGTGGCCCTGCAGCAGCCTCTGCCTGGTGGCTTCTCTTTGAGGCAGGTTGGAGGTCGATATGCCCAAAAATGAAGGATGAGTAAAACACCAGAAATCTGGGCCACGGTGCTGTGAGAAGTGGGGTGGCCCCAGCTGAGAGAGGATCTTAATTACGTGCTGTGCTTTCCAAGGATGAGTAGCTCCCCTCACGCTTTGGAGAGCATCCATACGCTTAAACACATGGCTACGTGCTCTGCTGAATCAGGACCTGTGTGCTAAATAAGCTTTTAACTCTTTTTCCTCTGGGCCAGGGAAACAACTCATCACCTTCACGTGGAAGCAGTGAGATCTTCAGCACCCGACGCCACCCTTCCAATGGATCATTATTCTTATTATTGCTATATTTCAGTCTATTTGCTTTAATTTCCTAGTCCACAGCTGGTTTTTTAACCCAGCTGCCTGAGCTGTTGGGACAGATGCTGCCCACAGGGATTTTGCTGCAGTGGGTACCCCCAGGGGACCCACCAGCACGATGCTCCTCTGCAAGAACACCCCAAAACTGGGAGCTCACTCATCCTGTTGCTCTGCCTGAACGCTGGGTTTGTTAACACTTCAGGGACCCAGCAGGACCCATCTTTCTTCTCCCATTTCCTAGCTGTAGGTGGGCTTTTCTCTGGGCGTTCACCCTCTTGCATTTCCCCTTCCCCTCAGCAAAAACCAGGAGCTGAGCATTTCCTACACCCCACACGGCCAGCACAACTCATGCCTGGAAAGTACTCATCTGGGATGCACAAGTCAAGTACACAGCAAGGCAAGAAAGCAATGAATAAATCCCCAAACCTAAATATTTCACATTTTTTTGGGGTACCTCAGGCTGGTAAATGCCCTGGTGCCACCTGGCAAAGCAGAAGGCAAAGCAGGATCGTGGTCTCCAAACCGGTACCAAACCACAGCAGCCACAGGGATTTGTAACTGCACTTGCTCTAATGAGTCTTTTTCTAGTAGCATCTTCAAAAGAAATGAAAAGCCCTTATCCCAAGACACCCTTTCAAAACAGGAATCACCAAGAGGAAGGCTCCTCCGCAACTCAGCTTCCATTAAGAAAAGGAAGAGAAAAGGCTGAGGACTTACGCAAAGCCATTAGTGAGCGTCAGCGAGAGGTTTGGTTCCATTCCTCCTGAGTTTTTCCTGCCCTTCCAAACTTACAAAGAGTGATTTCAGAGATGTGGAGAAGCTCAACAGGGTTTGAGCCTTAATTTCCTAGTGACAAGCAGCTGACATACAAAGGAGTGTGTGGTGGGACCCGATGCCAACGGATGCGTTTGGGCAAGAGGTTTGGTTCTGCTTGGCCAATGCAGTGTCCCTCCCTGGATGCTGCTCTGACCATGGTCCTCTTTCTCCTGAACTTTTCAGAGCCAGAAGCACTATCTACCTGATATTCAGAACATTTAAAACACTGGCAGATACATCAGAGCACAGCCAGCACACAGCCAGCACAACTCACACCTGGAAAGTACTCATCTGTGGGATGCAGAAGTCTGTTAAAGTACACAGCAAGGCAAAAAAGCAAAGAATAAATCCCCAAATCTAAATATTTCACATTTTTTTGGGGTACCTCAGGCTGGTAAATGCCCCGGTGCCACCTGGCAAAGCAGGATCGTGCTCTCCAAACCGGTACCAAACCACAGCAGCCGCAGCGATTTGTAACTGCACTTGCTCTAATGAATCTTTTTCTAGTAGCATCTTCAAAAGAAATGAAAAGCCCTTATCCCAAGACACCCTTTCAAAACAGGAATCACCAAGAGGAAGGCTCCTCCGCAACTCAGCTTCCATTAAGAAAAGGAAGAGAAAAGGCTGAGGACTTACACAAAGCCATTAGTGAGCACGAGCCAGAGTTTGGTTCCGTTCCTCCTGACTTTTTGCTGCTCTTCCAAACTTACAAAGAGTGGTTTCAGAGATCTGGAGAAGCTGAACAGGGTTTAAGCCTTAATTTCCTAGTGACAAGCAGCTGACATACAAAGGAGTGTGTGGTGGGACCCGATGCCAACGGATGCATTTGGGCAAGAGGTTTGTTCTGCTCAGCCAATGCAGTGTCCCTCCCTGGACTCTGCTCTGACCATGGTCCTCTTTCTCCTAACCTTTTCAGAGCCAGAAGCGCTATCTACCTGATATTCAGAACATTTAAAACACTGGCAGATACATCAGACTGAGGAGGTGAAAGGCAGACACAGCTGGATTGAATTCACAGCCCATTTGGCTTTAGGAGGCTGTTTCTTCCAAGCCTTAACTCACAGGACACCGAGCAAACACAGAAATACAGGTGCAAGCAAAGAAAATTGGTTTAAATCCATTAATCCATAGAGAAAGCCTCCAGGGCAAGTTACACACACAGAGTCACGTCATCTTAAGCTTATTTCCTCCTCTCTCTCTCATTTTTGCCCCCTTTGCAATGTGAAATTCCTCCCTGGGGGGCTGAGGATTCACCCAGGCAGCACCTGCAGTGCCATTGGTGAATCATCTCCAGGGACACCACCTGTTCACCCCTAAACTTGTACCTCCAGGTTTAACACACATTATTTACCTCTAATTTCTTACAGGAAACTTAAGGAGAATTCCTTCTATAAAGATCTTTTAGAGTGAGACTGATCAGAGAGACCCGAAATCTCACAGATTTCCAGAAAACCAGTCTCCACTTGGCTTTTACAGAAACGAGCTTATTATAGAAGAAATTTTCCTTAAGATCTTTTAGAGTGAGACTGGTCAGAGACCTGAAATCTCACAGATCTCAGGAAAACCAGCCTCCACTTGGCTTTTACAGAAACGAGCTTATTTTACCTGTTTTGTGTTGCCTTCTTAAATTCCTCCAATCCTGCTCTAAAGCCCAAATCACCCACACAGCTCAGAGCTTTCTCGAGAGGCTCGGGAGTTTGCTGAAAGCAGTTTCTATATCTAAGAGACTTTAGAAAACGAGATTTCCCAGGATCGACCGGATTACGCAGCACTTCTTATTTGGTCCTGGAAATAACTGTGGTGTTTGCAACAGCAGATGGGCAACTTCAAAAAGAGAATGGAAAAAACCTGCTTATAAGGAACAAAACTGCCACTAGAACAAAAGAGCTGTTAATTTAAAAAAAAAAAAAGAAAAAAAAGAAAAAGGAGTCAGCATTTATCTTCCCTCTATTTCAAGATCCAAGACTGTAGCCCCGCTGCACTAACACCAGAGTGTGATACAGAGTAAACCTGTCCCCCTCTTGTTTAGTAAAGTCAATGAGCCAGAGGCAAAAAAAATGCAAAATAGAGTATTAAACTCTGCAGGAAACGTTGTCACTCTCCAGTCTGGGCTCACCAAGGTGAGAGCCTGCAAGAAGCAGGGACAGAGAACAGCTGGAGATGACCCTCCAGCTTCCACAGCCCAGAACCTCCCTCCCCAAACCCCTCACCTCCGTCTCTGTGGGATTGAAACACTTTTATAGGATTCGCCTTGGTGGGAGGGATTTAATAACTAAAGTGGAATTATTTCTGAACATAAATTTAATTTTCTTTCACAAGATTTAAGATCGAAAAAAATTAGGATTTCATACTAACTTGCTGATGTGTGTAAGAACCACCTATTATTTTGTATTTATTAGACTTTTACCATGCCTCAGTTGTCCTACATCACCTGTAGGAGGTAGGGGAACCCACAGCATTCCCACATCGTTGCTGTTTCCACAGTCACCACTCGCACTGGAGCAGCCCGGTCTCTGGTTGCTTAGAGCACCCCTTTGATGATGGGCCCAAACCAAGTCCTACCTCAAGCCGGAGGCTGGTGGGCTCCAGGTGACGTACGGCAACCCCAGGAGCACCCAAGGGATGTGATGCCCAACTGCCTTCCTCCTGCTTTCTTCTCTCCAGAGCAGCACCAGCCCACACCATTCAAGCAGCAATACAGAGTTCATTGATTCAACACAGAAGTTCTGGGGTTCTTCTAGAGCAGGGCTTCTTCACCGGAGACCTTCACGCAGAACTACTCACTGTGGGATGGCCCAACAGCGACCGCTTGCTCTAGATCAGGGGTGACCACTTGGAAACACGACGCTGTCGTGATGCTGGCTTTTTGCCATCTTTAGAACCTCAGGTGGCAATGAAAAAAAAAAGGCTGGCAAGATATCTCTGCTGGGATAGATTTCATGCCTCCAGATTTTTGGAATGAAATTTTAGACTGGTTTGGGTGGGGTTTTGTTTGGTTTTTTTTTCCATTTCAAGTGTTACTCTTGTTGGTGGCTGCGATGTTTGCTTTAACTGGATCCCCACGTGTCCTACAACCACCACCCAATGAAACACCACCCTCACACTTACCTTTAGAAGCACATCGTAGGATTCAGAGAATCCCAA